TTAACCATATTCAACCCATCTTGACCCTCAAATTAAATATGGTTCACCCATAACCATTAAAAAGCGGGAGGATATGGGCGGGTTGATGGTTCCTGACCCATTTTGCCACCCCTATAGTATTTAAGTATTCAACATAGAACCTTTTTATTTTATTTTTATTTTTTGAGTCTTGTCAAATGAGACCATAAATATTAAAGATTGGAGACAAGAAGAGGATATTGAAAGGATAGTTGTGTAATATGAAAATAAATAAATAAAATAAATTACTCACTTGTTAAGTGAGGACTAAAAGTGTCATTTCTTTTAAAATGAGGGTGCAAATGTAAAAAATGGGTGTGCAAATATCACTTCCATTTTTTTTTTATATTCCTTCAAGTCTTAGTTTAATGAATATTGCTTATGAGTTGAAACTTGAATAATAATTAATTTAATTAAAAATCAATTAAAAGATCTTGTGTATAATTCAGGATGACTTTAATGCAAATAAATAAATATTCTATAAACAAAAGTCATTAAAATGTTATTTTTTATTTTTGTTAAATTTTTGCTAAAATTTTTTTATATCACATTTTGTAATCTTACAAATGAAAGTTTGAGTCTAAATTTTAAATATAATTTGATAAATGTATAAATGAAAGATTTAGCCGATAAACGGAATATATATCTAGGAATTAAATTTTTTTAAAATGAAAAATTGTAGGACTTGATAGTTTAAAAAGTCCAACTCTTTTTCATTTAAAAATTTTAAATTTGATAAATGATAGTTTAAAAAGAATCTAATTTCACTTCTGGGAGTTCGAATTCCTTTTTCGGTACTTATCCAGTGTATGTATGACGGGGTATTGTATATTGGTAATGAATTATGGGGTGCTCTAAGAGTCCGACACTCTTATGAAAAAAATAGGGTAATTTACACAAAACCTCCTCTATGATTTGCAATAATTACAGGAACTTCCCCTCGAGTTTGGGAAGTTACTCGGACCTCTCCTAATTTTGAAAATATTCTACATGGACCTCCCTTATGTGTGACGGACCGTTAAATACACTAACAGACCTATCAAAATAACTGAAATACCCTCTCCTTGGTATCTGAAATTGTAATACCCCTAATTTTAAAAGAATAGTCTCGGTATTTTAATTAATTAGTTTATTGCATTTTTTTTTATTATTTACTTATTTGCCTGATTGTTTAATTATTTTATTTAATTGAATTGTTTGTTTTAATTATTTATTTTCATTAATGATATGCTTATGTGGCAGTGTATTAAATGTTTATAATTTTTTTCTTGGTTTAAATTAAGTGTTGAATTAAATGTTTTTAATTTAGGGTCTTAACAGATGAAGTTGCCGATTAGTTATAGTTTTATTTTAGTTTTCTGTCTCTTTATATGATTAGTATTAGGGTAAAGTTTTTGGCCTATTTATATTCTTTTATAAGTCTACCAAGAGTTTTAGAGCCCTAATCACGTAGCAGTGGAGGCGACGAGATACAAAGAGGTCTGAGAAAGAACAGAGAGAGGGAAACTTGGGGTTTGACTAAGACTAAGGCTAGGCCAAGGAGAGAACGAAGGGGTGTGCTCGTAGGTTGAACCAAGGGGCAACAGAGGAGTTAGAATAGTGAAGGATTACCGAAAAAGTTAGGAAGACGACGCTGAGATTTCAAAACTGAAATCAAAGGCAAGTTTTATTTTTTGCTCTCTCTCTTTGACACGTGTTCTGTGCATGCTTAGATAGTCTCTAGGAACTTAACGGACATCAAAAATTGATTATGTATGCATGTAATTCAGATGTTAAACTATATTTTATGTGTTGATTAATTGAAATTTTATTGTTCAACAAATTATTTCATATTCTGCTTTAAATCTTGTAACGATGCATACTTTGATTTAAAAGTTTCTGGGAAAGTGCTGGGACATAGACGGACTTTCGAAAACCTAAATAAGACATTACAGAGTGTTTTTAACATCATCGGAGACGAAGATGATGACAAGAAACAGGGATAGAGCCGACTCCCAAGGGAATGGAGCTGGCTCCTTAAGATTTTTGGCCACGGCTCTCTGTGAGAGAGAGAGCTGGCTCCATGGATTGAGGGAGCCAGCTCCTTAGGTTATAGAGCCAGCTCCCAAGGTAGGGGAGCCGGCTCCCATTGGTTGAGAGCTGGCTCTCAACTTTTGAGAGCAAGCTCTCATGCTTAAAGGTGTACTGGAGATGGTTTTGGGTACGGTTTTGATATTTTTGGAGTTCCTGGACTGTTCTGGATTGTTATTAAGTATTCTAAACTTTGTTTTATGATATATTAAAACTCAAATAGCATAATTAACATCTGTATGCTAATGGATTTAACAGTATGGAAGTTTAAACAATTTTTGCATGTTGTTAACGGATGTAAATGATTTAATTGTCTAGTCTTCTTTTAGCAATTTAAATGTCTAGAACATGATTTTTAAATCTGTATTGGATGCATAATAGGGTCATATACTTATTAGATTTGATTATGCTTACCCTAGATTTTAATTGATAAACCATTAAATTCTGTTTTGTCAATTACATGTATGTTATTCTGGATTTTAATTGATGAACTATTAAATTCTGTTCTGTCAATTGCATGGATGTTATGGATTGTATGTACCGGTATGGAACGGTGGCATACTAAGGACGGATTAGTTCAAAATACTAAGTCCTACCTACTCTAGAATAAGGGAATGGATTATAAAATTTAAATCCTACATATATTTAAGTTAGATCAGCTGAACAAGTTGAATGATTAACTGGATTACTTATTACTTTTATTTAAGTCAGATCAACTGAACAAGTTGAATAACTAACTGGATTTCTTATTGATGGATATGATAGGATTTATATATATATGATTATGGTACCACGATATGAGTTTGAGTCTCAGGATCGATAGTTAGGGAGCATATATTCATTGGGATGCATAACTGGCTATGATGGTAGAGGTATACCCTGTTAGGTCTAGGTGCACATGCCCACCTCTAGTGCGTTTTGCATATTGCCTTCTATTCAGGTTGAGACCCCTTTTGTAATCCAGTGAGAGTCCCTTAGTGTAGATATATATATGTATGGACTAGATAGATATTTTTGAGTTGTCTAGGATGTATCTGCTTATCGAGTCTCTGTTTGGATTGTAGTTAGAATAGAATTGTTCGTGGGCCTTACCCACTATCATTTTTCAGGTATCGAATGGTTCTAGTCTTAGAGCTTGTTCGTGCTGAGTAGAAAAGGTCATTCACTCTTTCGACGACGTAGGATTTCCTTTCATGTTTTAGCTTTGATTTATTTTTATTTTTATTTTTATTATTTTTATTTTTTTATCTCAGTTCTTTTCTTTCTATTGTGATTTTTTTAGGGGTCCACTAGATGAATTCTCGAGTTGAACGTATTAGAGGTTTTGGAAAGTTTGGATTATAATAATTTATAACTTTTGAGGATATTATATTTAGAATTATTTTCAGCCTTTATTATTTATTTCTTAAATTCTTTTGTACTCATGCTTGTTCAAATATTAATTATTTGATATCCTTCGGGTTTAGGCTTGGGCCTGATCAACCCCTATCTCAGAGTCGAGGGGTATCACAGAAATTACTAAACTACCCATAAATTACTGAGTAAGCATGACATCAACTTGTCAGTTATACACAACATTTTCTCCAAAAGCGTGTGTAGTGTAACAAACAAGCAAGTCGCATAATCCATCACCAACCTTCATTTAAGTACTTATTTTCTCTCTTTAACTTACCTAAATCCTCTCTCATATAAACTGCAACCATCTGAACCAAATAATCAAAAGGCCAACTCATCTAATTGCATAGATTTCAGTGAGAGCATATATATTCAGCTATGTTTGATTCCGGCCAAAATAATCTTCTTCTGCACTTTTCCGGCATAATCTGACAATATATTGCAGATTTGATATGGCAAAATTTTGGCAATAATATAGGCTGCAAATTAGAAAGATTCCCAAATTCCTGTTATTAGTTTCAATCATTTCCCACTGATTTTGATTAGGTCTCAGGATAGTTTAGTTCTCACCTACAAAAACTTAATTGTAATCATGAAAAACTTCTTGGGAGAATGAATATTTAAAATTTAAAAAATTAATTAAATTTGTTTCATACCTTCTAATTTAGTGGTGGTAAACAAAACATCACATGTCTCCACCCTCACTCCCACCTTTATCTCCTCCACCACCATCCTTGCATTCAGGTGTTGCTCCGCCATCATCGCGGCCAAACTAGTATTGGCACCTCCGTGCATATACTCTCCATCGCCGAGTTCCACCCGCAGTGACTCAGAAACCCCTTCACACTCTCATGCCCAAGTATCTCCCTCTGATCCACCCACTCTTTCACTATTAATCCTTTCTCTTCGAACCCATTTTCTAGTTCTTCCTCTTTTTTCTTCATAACCAACACAAAATTCACCATTGATTTCTTTAACCCAACTGCAATTTCATGTAATTGTGCTTCTGATATCTCTGCTGCGTATTAAATTCCCAAATATTGTCCACTGGTTTTATGATGTGTATTATATATATATATATATATATATATATATATATATATATATACTTTTAAACATAATATGAAATTATATAGACAAGGGTATTTTAGGAATTTTAGTAAAATTAGTAGATGACGTTATCAATTTCTGCTGTTGACTGCCATTGACTCTAATAGAAGGGAGGTCTGTGTAGGATATTTTTAAAATTAGGGGAGGTTCGAGTAATTTTCCAAACTCGAGGGGAGGTCCCTGTAATTATGTTAAACCATAGGAGAGGTTTGTGTAAATTAGCCAAAATAATAATAATAATAATAAAATCTAAAGCCCTTGTTTGTTCTATTCTGGGGACCTGGGGTGCGTGATTCAATGGGCCTAGCATTCATTTGGATCAGGATGGCCCACCAAGTTAGCCCATTCAGAATCTAGGCCCGACTTGACAAAAACTGAGCTTTGTTTATATTTTCAGTTTTCTTTAGTCGATCGATTCGTTTGATTTGAGGTTCTCTCGAGCAAAAGCTAAGTTCAGGTATGTCTTCGATCACCGTAATTAGGGTTTTATTGCATTCATTGCTAATACTGTAAATTTGCGTTTGTTTTCGATTTCACTGAATCAGGTCAATTTCTGTGTGCAAGTTCAACATTCTTAAATCTCTGTTAGGGCAGTGTTTAGAATGCATACATAGTTCTTGGATGCGTGAACATATGTATATATACTCATATACATCTATATAGTATATATGCGTCATATATTTGCATAAATATATGCCGTACCAACTGGGATGGTTCAAGCTGAACTTTTTTTACGGTTCATTCGAATTTCATTATTTTTGAAGTGTCAGATGTAAGTCACTATTTAACTTTTTGATTTTATTCTTTCTTTCTTTTTGTGGAATTCTAATTCGGCTTCAAACGCTACAATTTTAATTCTAATTCTGATTCATAACTAAAGATAAATCAGTTTATAGAGCCATAGTTATCATTATGTCAGGCTATTTGTCTAGTTTGCTAGAAGTATAATGAGAATTTCGTTTGTTGCTTTGCTTGTGTCCAATTTGAGTTATAAGAAATCTATTTGCACTGAATTTACTCAATTTTCTGTACCCAATTTACCGCAGAAAATATATCATTAGAACATGGCTGTAAATGTAAGTAGTTCAGCACAATAGGTTGATACAACTTTTCGGTAAGCATAATTATAAAGTAGAAATGGAATTTGTAATGGCATTGTTTCACACTATATCTTCTCATTTCCGGTTAGAATAAAATTGTATGGTGAACAACTAGCACTGAAATATCTTGGGATGGTTTATAAAGAACAAAACTTCAGCATCACAATAAAAATATTCAAAAATATCTATTTTAAATAGGTCTAAGGAGTTATAGAGATCTTTATAAATAAGATTTTACTGAGGAATGAATATGTTTAGGAAACACTAGATGTATTAACGCTTATCCAAATAGATCATTTTATTGATAAACTTAAGGGGTTTTAGAAATTACTGGATTTAACGCAGGTTTATGGATGAGAGCAGTCACTTTACAAAATAATGCAAAAGTTTAGGTCGAGTCTTCCTCTTCCAATACCTTGTGTAAGCAGAATGTATACTGGATAATATAAAACGGAAAAAAGAATTCATAAATATTATTAAATAACATGCACATAAATATTTGACAGATTAACTGAGGGCTCAAGTTGGGATCAAATCCATTGGCAGGCCTACATGTAGTACTATCTTGGCAAAATAGTTACACCAAGATATGGACTTAGCGAACTTTGGTTCTGTAATGGCCTGCAGTCTTTACTCTTTGTTAATGGTTCATCCCTATGCACATACTTTACAAATTTGTGTTGCTATACACTGGATTAGTCTTACTACTGTATGACAAGAGTTTTGTAGATTTAAAGAATAGTTATTTGGTAGTTGAGTCCAATTTAATGAATTAATGAATTTTGCTATATTAACCTGAAAACACATTAATGATAGCCTTTTCTTCATTTCATTGCATAAATTTTCTGAGTCCTATGCAACTAGACTAATTTAGGATATGCTTGACAGTGCCTTGTGAGTAGTTGCTTAGTGAACTGCAAAAATTGGCATTTGATACAGGAACAAGGTGCAGTAAAAGAAAATGGCAGAGGGAGATGAGGATTTGCCAAGGGATGCAAAGATTGTTAAAACATTGCTAAAATCAATGGGTGTTGATGACTATGAACCTCGTGTTGTACACCAATTCCTAGAACTGTGGTACCGATATGTTGTTGATGTTCTGTCGGATGCACAGGTCTACTCAGAGCATGCTGGGAAGGCTGCAATTGACACTGATGACGTCAAGCTTGCAATTCAGTCCAAAGTCAATTTTAGCTTCTCACAACCTCCACCACGAGAGGTAATGTGATACTTCAATTTTAGTGAATGTTGAATTTTAATCTTGTTTTAAGACTTATCACTACAGTTATACTTGAGTTTTTGTAAACTTTAGCATTCTGTTGAAATATGGGTTCAATTTGGTGGATTCTTGAAATATTGTGAATAATTTATGATTGTTTACAAAAGCTGGCAACCTCCATAGGATTTCTCACAAGGAAAGAAATCAGTTACTACTATTGCTTTTAAAGCAGTTGTTTAACTATATATTTTGCAATGAATGGGAGAATGGGAGAAGTGCAGTTTACTTCTCTCTATCTCTTTCTGCTTTTTTTTTTTTACCCCATAACTTCTTAAGTTGCAATTGAATGATCTTCTGTTGCAAAGAACGAGTTTGTTTGTTTGTTTGTTTGTTTTTTTTTTTTTCTATGGTTTTCTCTCATGTTTACCATTGATTGGCATCTTTAATATGATTAAATGATGGTCTTTTTCATTAAATGATGGACTGCACAATTATTATGCTGGTATGTTCTATTCAGTGAGTCTAGATGTGGGGATAATTCATGGTTGTTGGCAACCTCCACATTGTGATTTCTCCTTATGTAAGAAATCAGTTTGTATCTTTGATGTAGGACAGTTTTATCATACTTAGTAATTTTTATTATTTAGATTTCTTCTTTATTTTATTTTTATATTTTTTATAGGAAGTTTAGTTTTAATTAATTTCTTTAAGGAATTATTTTCCTTTTGCTATTAGGTTTCTTTATATTTTAGTTTTCTTCTAGAGTTAGGTTTCTATTCTTATAAATACATGTACTGCAAAGTGCAGAATAATTTTTTAATCATTCAATTATCAAATAATATATCAGATTTCTCTGAATTCTCTTTCTGTTTCGTGGATTCAAAACACCCATCTTGTGGATTCAAGGTAACTTGTTCCTCGTGAACAAATTTATCGCTTCCGCTTACGTCAGTTGGTATCAGAGCCTTATCTTTTCCTGATCTGATGGTAAGTGATCGTTTTCGTGGTAACCTCGCTGGTGACAAAGATCGACAGAGAGTGGCTCATTTAAGAGCCGAATTTCAAGACTATCAACGTGAAACCCAGCAAACGTTGCAAGATAGCAAAGATTGTTAGGCTTAAGTTTGGTCTAGAGCAGAACCGTGACAACAATAGGTTGCGCAACAACGTAGATCGTGTTCATCCTATTCGTAATCGCAACCCCTTCCCTCCGCATAGTCAGTCAGCCTATGAGGAAAAGGTGTTTGGGGATCATAGAGACGCACGAAGATATCATGATTATGGGGATTATGATTCTAGGAATTTTCCTCCTAGAAGTTTTGATGGTCTCTTTCATGTTGAAGATTTTCTAGATTGGCTAGAAGATTTTGAGAGGTTTTTTGATTACATGGGGATTCCAGAGGATAAGAAGGTGGCACTCATCGCGTACAAATTGAAGGGAAGAGCTTCTAATTGGTGGGAACTGTTGCGGATTACTCGTGCACGACAAAGAAAAACACCGATACGATCTTGGTTGAAGATGAAACGTCTTTTGAAAGCCAAGTTTCTTCCACTAGATTATGAGGAGTATGAAGAGATTCAATTTCAGTCATACCAAGATTACCAACCGTGGTGTACCATGGTTCAGCATTATACCGATATATCGTTGAATTCGAAGCCTCGACCTCTTTCTCCTACGGACAAGTTTACACAAGAAAAAAATTGTTTCCAAGAAACGGAATCTGAAAAAAAATACCTCGAAGAAAAAGAAATTAATAAAAAGAATGGAGTTGCTGTTTTTGAACAACCTGAAAAAAGGAAAAGCTACAGTTGTTTGTGCTAATCCTGTAAAGCAAGATGGCATGTCAACTGGTGTAGATGTGGTGGTTTTGCAAAGTAATAATGTTGTTGCAATTGGTCATGTTATAGCTGACTTGAAAGGCACACAAGTGTTGGTTAGTGCACAAGAGCAAATTACAGAAGTGGCCATTATTTCAGGCTTTCAGCTGAAGGGAAGAATCAGTTTGGAGAAGAAAATCTTGATTCCCACAAGCATGTTTGCTTGAAAAACGTGCCCAGTATTGACCAACCCATAACAGGTTCTATTCCAATGAGATTTCAATACCTATCAAAATTCATTGACTTGCAGTGTTTTAACAATTATATGGGAGGTCATCTTTCTAATGGGTTTCAACTGTGGACACGAATTGGGTGTTTGATTTCCCATGCAATTACCCAACTGCAAGAATTACATCTAATCCTATATTGATTTTTCCGAATTTGGAGTCTGGTGAAGTGGGTCAGAAGAATTTATTTGTTATCATTTCTGCTGAAGTTGGGTATAGTCAATCGTTGCAAAGACTTGTTGTGTCACTTAATTTCTTTCTTTTTGAGTTCCCAATGAAGATTAGAAATCTGTCACAATTGGTGTTTTTTTGGAATTGGACAGTGAAAAAACAAGTTTATGAAGAATCAAGGTCAAGCACTCAATGGTATGAAATCTTATTCACATTAATATATGATGAGTCGCAGCGAAACTCGAGGATGAGTTTTTTTTTAAGTGGAGAAGACTGATGTAGGACAGTTTTATCATACTTAGTAATTTTTATTATTTAGATTTCTTATTTATTTTATTTTTATATTTTTTATAGGAAGTTTAGTTTTAATTAATTTCTTTAAGGAATTATTTTCCTTTTGCTATTAGGTTTCTTTATATTTTAGTTTTCTTCTAGATTTAGGTTTCTATTCTTATAAATACATGTACTGCAAAGTGCAGAATAATTTTTTAATCATTCAATTATCCAATAATATATCATATTTCTCTTAATTCTCTTTCTGTTTTGTGGATTCAAAACACCCACCTTGAGGATTCAAGGTAACTTGTTCCTCGTGAACAAATTTATCGCTTCCGCTTACGTCAATCTTTGCTCCTAAAGTAATTGTTTAACAATATTTTGTGCCATGAATGCAGAAGTACAGTTTGCCTTTTGCTTTCTATATAACTTCTGAAGTTGCAATGAATGATTTTCTGTTGCAAAGAACTAATTTCATTCAATATCTTTTTCTCTGGTTGTCTCTCATGTTTTCCATTGATTAACATCTTTTTTTATATGTTTACTAAGTGGAATCATTGATGATGGTTTACAGAACATAGCAATTTTCATATTGCAAGTTCTCAGAAAAAAAAAAAAAAAAAATAGGCTGTATTACTATCTCTGCTCTCATGGTAATTGTCTAACAATAATTTTGTATGCTTTTTCTTTTTCTCTGGTTCTCTCTGATGTTTTCTATTGATTGGTACTTTTTGTGTGATCAAATGTGATGATATGTATCATTGTCGTGCTTGTGCTGATAAACCATGTAATCTCTTCTTGACAGTTGGATTTAGTGCTGAGTTTTTCTGGCAGTGTAGGCTTTAGAAACAGTTGTTGTCGTAATTATTATTATTATTATTATAGGCAGATGCAGTTATTATTGTTAATTATGTTGTACTGTTTATTTTCTACTCAACCAAGTGTATTATGTTCATGACCAAAGTTGCATAGAAACTGTGTGTTTCTGTATATGTGTTTGTCTGTTTGTGTTGAAAGCTTAATAGCGTATCTAACTTGACCATTTATCAGGTACTTCTAGAGTTGGCAAGGAACAGAAACAAAATCCCATTGCCGAAGTCGATAGCAGGACCTGGAATCCCACTCCCACCCGAACAGGATACGTTGATGAGCCCTAACTTCCAACTTGCAATCCCAAAGAAGCAAACTGGTCAGGCAGTGGAAGAAATGGAGGAGGATGAAGAAGGTGTTGTTGATCCCAATCCCAACATTTCCCAAGAGCAGAAAACAGATTTGCCGCAAAGTACTACTCCTCAACGAGTATCCTTTCCCCTTGGAACTAAACGTCCAAGGTGAGGTGTGCAATTTATCCTATCTCGGCAGGATATCCTTTAGTATCTATAATGTAAACAGAAATGCAGAAAGGAGTTCTATTGTTTTAAGGATTTTGCAGTACCTATACTGCAAGGCTTTATGTAAAAAGTCAAAGAATGATTTGTTTGGCAATGTTAGACTGTACTTGAGTCATTCTTGGTTGAAACTGCACGAGGTATTTTAGCTTTAGCCTAGAGGGTACAAGCTATCCTCATCTTTGGGGAGGTTGAGTACTCGAGCCTGGACGGTATAAGCTATCCTCATCTTTGGGGAGGCTCGAGCCTGGTTGTGTGTTTGCTAAAAAAAAAAAAAAAAAAAAAAAAAAAAGAAGCTGTTGAAGGCCTGAAGCCTCGAGCCTGGTTGTGTGTTTGCTAAAAAAAAAAACAGAAAAAAAAAAAGAAAAAAAAAGGGGGCTATTGAAGGCCTGAAGAGGCTTGCAAATGGCTGTGAGCCATTTGGTCATTTTTACTATGGGCTTCTGTTATACTTGTTGCCTAAAAGCTCATTCTGGCATGCAGATGTAGCTGAAATGAGTGATATCATATAATGGTGGCATGATTGGCACAAGTGTCAGAATAATTTATATAAATGAAGCCATCCCGGACAGCAAATGCACAAGATGATCGGTTGGTGGGGTAACAGAAGTTTTGATATGGCAATTCACATTGCATTACAGAGTATGGTCTGATGAATGTGTGAACTAGGAGTGCAACTTGCAGGTCAACCCGAATTCAATCTGAGCCCAACTTTGATTTTTTACGGGCTCAGCCAACCAATTTAACAATTACGGGGTGGGTTTGGGTTGAAGAATCACAATCTGAAGATTCTGATCACAATCTAAAGATCCTGAACTTAATTAAGGTTGAGTTTGGGTTGAGGTGCTAGCAACTGGATTCCAAACCGAACTTGAATTATAATATTATATATATATATATAAATATTATTTTTTAACCTAAAAGAATTTTTAAATATATATATGTAGGTTTTATAACATTCAAGTCGTCGTCTTGCCAGCCACCAACAATCATGGACATCAAATTCCTCCAGGTTCATCAATCATCTATTTTTTTTTTTCTTTCTTTGTGCATCTTATTCTCATTCAAGACATCACAGGACTCATCTTGCACTCCTCTGCAATGCCTCTCTGGATTGAATTCTCTCACCTCCAACATTGATACACCATCCTCCACCATCTTCTATATATATATATTATTCAAGACTATGCAGCCACATCCGCCATTTCCAATTGCCTTTTTGTGTGATGATCATTATAACTATTTGTTCTAGAGTGAGAAATGAAGTTATTAAATCTAGAGATAGCACTAATTAAACTTCTGCAATCATCACTTCCCTGTAAAGAAAACCAGAGAGCCCTTCTTTGTCTTTCTTAGCCCAAAACCTATTTTGAATTGGGTTAGATTTCGGTAGTGGGTTTTGCTATTTCTAGTGATATATACATATATTTTGGTAATATATATATATATATATATATATATATATATATATAGAAGATGGTGGAGGATGGTGTATCAATGGTTGTGGTTAGAGAATTCAATCGAAAGGGAGATTGCAGAGTGGAAGATGTAGAGAGAAGGGGTGAAGTTGAGCCGAGTAGGAAGCTCTCTCTCTTGGGTGGCCCGATTTGCAGAGTTGGAAACTCTCCGGCCCATCTGATGCTGGTACTAACATTAATGATATTTTCTTGAGTAATGACATTAATCATAATTTTTTTAAGGTAAGTATTATTGTTCCTCAGTTTTGTTCTTGGTTATGAATTGGTCTTTTTTCCTTTCCTTAGGTCAAAAGTAATGAAGGGTAAAATAGTCATTTTATTTAGTATATATTTGGGAATAAATGGTATTAAAAAATTAGGGGCAAATTTGTCTTTTTGCACAATTTTAACAGTATTACAGAAAAGTAAAATTTGACTTAGTAATTTTCGAAAGATGTTTTAATGTAATATTTGACCAAATCTAAGGAGGTGTTAGTGAAATTAACTTAAAAATTTATAAGTTTTGTACTCGGCTCGCCCTGGTGTAATTTAGGTCTTTTTCAATCTTTACTAGCAAAAATTCACACCAATTTCCTTTAATTTTACATTGTTCAAAAAATTAAAACATTCTGTTAGGATGCTACTAAAGATTAGGGTTTTAGTTAGGAAAGGATGGCAACGGGCGGAGTTGGGGTGGAGTTGGCTAAACCCTACTCCGTCCTGTTAGAAAATTCGTCATATTAACTTCGCCTCAACTTCGGAACGGGTTTGTAATTGATATACCATTCCCGCCTCTACTCCGACAAATAAAGTACCGGCTATGTCTCGCTTATTCCATTTAATTGTGGGGGTAAGGCAGGTTATGTTAATTTTGTTATGTGATAAAAAAAAATTAGTCCAAATGTGCTCAAATTGGAGTGATAAATAAACTGATCACGCTTTTAAATTACTAAATAGTGAATATTAATATATTAACTGACACTTGCAGCAAAGTAACAAAAGGCTTAAAAATATTAAATATATATTTTATAAACATATAAAATTTTTAAAAGTACATATATAATCGGGATGGGGTAGGGCGGATTATTACTAAATCTGTCTCCACCCTAAACCCGCTTTGAATTTTTAATTATTTTATTATATCCGCCTCAAATTCATTTAAAGAATTACCAAATTCACCGTAATAAAAACGGGATAGGACAAAAACCCACCGGATCATAGGAGATTGCCATCCCTTAGGAAAGGAATATGATGATGTCTTTCCTTTCCCTCTCCCTCTTTCCACTTCCAATAACTAATTAATGGGAATCGCATTGAAACTGTGCACATGGGCGTGGGCTGGACTCTAGGTGGTTGTCCCAAACAAGTCGCAGTATCCAACTGGTGGTGGTGGGCCATGTGAGGCGCAATTGGCCGTACTCTCTGCACAAACAAAGCTAGAGCAATTGCTTTCCTCTCAGTTGGCTTTCCCTAGCCATTTTTATTTGCTGTCTCCACTACCTTTTAACCTCTCTTCCACTCTTTCTTACAAAAAAAAAAAACCACTTACAAGTGGCAATAGCTGAATTTGCAGGAAAGTTAGGGGCATTACATGCTTTATGTGACAAATCAATCAAATATATGACACGTTTTAGGTAAAATGTTTTTCTTTCACAGATTTGTAGGTTTCTGTTTTTTCTTTTCCTTTCAATTTCATCAATCCAAGCAAAGCGGTAATTTTTCCTACTTATATTTTCGATCCGTCTGCTCCACCCTTTCACTTGTTTTTCTCATTTTTTTTCTAACCACATCTGGTCATGGACTCCAATTCATTTGTCTTCTCATAATTTTTGTAACTCTCATCTCACTAAATATCTTCTCAATGGTCGAACACTATATTATATGTAAGTAGAGATTATCCATTATTCTTTCATGTAGTAATTAATTGTATCATTTCCTTTACTTCTCCTAATTATTCAAACACACTTAAAAGATAAAAAGTAGTTTGAACAAATTGTAGCTTATATACGCAGAAGCAAAGAATGTTTTTAATATTGGCAATAGCAATTTTCTAGCTTCTTAGTTTTTAATAGACTACTGTTTTGCAATATGGAATGGTATGCCCATTCCGCTAAACAATTTCATGCCAATGTCCAGATATGAGTTTCAAAATATTTGAATCATGTTCAAAGATTAACAGTACGGAATCAAAATCCTCCGGTGACCTGTACTTGGTAATGCAATTATAATGCACTTATCCTATCCATGCTGGTCTGGTTTTCACATATTCTTGCATGCTTCAAGAGCGAAGAGCACTCAGTTCTTTAATCAAATCATCCAAATCAGTGAAAGATGATCCACCTTCTTCAACAGCCTTCAATGCCATCTCTTTAAGTGTCCTTGCGCTTCTTCTCCTCTCCTCAGCTTCTTCACCCACCATAATCTCCTTCACCGCCTTCTCTATGGCTTCCCTTTTCACACCATCAATGGCCTCTTCCTTCCATTGCTGAGAACCAACACCAACCCCTATTCTCAAAATCTCAGTCAACAACTTCTCATTAAAGAACTGCTCTGCAAACATCGGCCACGTCACCATTGGCACTCCGGCAGACACCCCTTCAAGCGTCGAGTTCCATCCACAGTGAGTCACGAAACCTCCCACTGCTTCGTGATCAAGAATCAACACTTGAGGTGCCCACCCTCTTATGATTAGGTCCTTACCTTTCGTTCTCTCTTCAAATCCTTCCGGCAACCAATTTTCGTTATCGTCTTCATTCTTGGCTTTCCTCACAACCCAAATGAATTCTTGTCCTGAACCTTCAAGTCCCATTGCAAGCTCATGTAATTGTGAAGCAGCAAAGTTGGCCAAACTTCCAAAGCACACATAAATAACCGGACTGGGCTTCTTTGAGTTGAGCCATTTCAAGCACTCGTGTTTGTCTATGGATGTTTCTTCTCCTCTAGCTCTGTGCTGTGTCTTCAACTTCTCTATTGCATAGCGACACCGGGCCTATCTGCCATGCCTTCCTCCCCAAAACCGTCCTGTAATGATCAGCATAATCAGGTTCAAGCTCGTAGAAGCTGTTAACTACAACTCCAAAGCTTGTCATCTCTGACTCTATAGCTTTGTTTATCAACTTGGTAAAGTCTGAATTGTTGTTACCATCTTCTTTGCATTGATATGCTAGTTGCATTCTAGTCAACTTAACCTCATCAGGAAGGTTAGGCACAATGAAGGGCTCGGAGTCTGATGAGACATTCCTCTGAGGCTTGTAGAGTCTCAAATGCTCCGAAACACATCGAGGGAAAAAACTGGTTCCATGAAAAACAAGTCTAGGAATTAATGTCGAATTTGGCTGCAACATCGGTTGCCCAAGTGTAGAACATGTCCGCGACAAGGCAATCCGGACGACCCTCTTTTAGGACGTGTTCAAGTTGTTCTTGGAGCATTGTGGTGGCCTTAAAGAAGTTGGGAATCATATTGTGGGAGACTTGATCCAAGTTTTCGCATCCTTGGGGCAAGCCAGCTTCCACTGAAGGGAATTTGATGACACTAATAGAGATTTGGGAACAAAATGTTTTTGTTGTTTGGATTGATTTGGTGAAGATAGGGGCATTATGAGCAGTGGTGATTATAGTTGTCTTAGCACCATGTGAAACAAATAGTTTGGCCATGTGAAAC